AACCTCTACATATTACATTTTCTAACCTTTGTAAAAGCCACACATTTTCACATTTCTCAGTGAAACAAGAGGACGACCAGGAGAGTGCTCTATTAGTAATTTTATTTCCTCTTGCTACAATTCCTTCTGTCTCATAGGCCGTAATTTTCCCAATTTCTCTGTCATTCTTAGAGCAATACTATAAAATCTCAGTTTATCCAAAACATTGCTATTAAAATCACTTTCCTCACTTGCATGACAGTCCCTAACCCTCAACTCATATGTCAACCATACAATACTATTTGGTGGAACTTCTGAACAAACAGAATATGCTAGCTTTTCATGGGTTGCCATACATGATCATTTCCATGTATTTCCAAAAATACTAAACTGCATATAAAAGGTAGCCGCTTATGAATGTCTTCTCTCTATTGATTTTAATTAAGCAAAAATTTAATGAAAACTGTTTACACTGGCTAGTTCTAACAAAGCGCTATATATAAAACCACAATCAAATTGAGCTCAGCTTGAAAGAAAACGAGAAGAATCAATGTATGAAGCAAAATATTAATAAAGCCCAAAAGCATTTATCCTAGATAGTACTGCACGTCTCTAGTTCAATCCGAAACTAAGAAATTCCTATCATGACAATTAAAAATGCTTTTTCTTAAATTGTGCTGTCAAATCTGCAGTCTGCTACATTTTAAGAATATCGAAGTCCCTGAACGTCAGATGCACATTCTCAGAGTAGCTCATATTCCATACTTGGTGGGTTCAGTCTCATTCAGGTGCTAAAAAGAGTCTGGTCCTGGTGTACGAATACACTCATTTTTGTGCTGTGCACGCAGCAACAGGTTAGACTGCAGTATCTGTGGAGTGCTGGGCATGGTCACTGCGGCACTAGTTCTTAAGACAAAAGTTCTATCTGATTTTGGAAAATACATATTCTATTTAAACTGTGAGCAAAGAGTTCACTTATTCTCACTTTTTGTGCTCTACCCTCCTCCTAGCCGAAGTTTTTATTTTTAACCAAAGCAATGTTCCTTTTCCTGAAGAAAATATAATGGACAAGACAGATACCTTATACAGTCTATATAACGAATCTGGTCTTAAAGCGTATGATACATTGCTACATGAGAAAATGACAGTGGGTCTTGTGAAAGGACAGCATATCACTTTGTTAAACAGGATAATCTTCACAAGTTTAATGAAATAAGTGATATTCATATGCTTCCACAGAATGAAGTGTAATTGATAATGGGGAATATCACTGAATCAAGACACAAACCACATCAGATACACTTTCCATTATCAAAGAAACATTATAGAGTTAGCCTGACATAGTCCAATTCATGATATAGTTCACCTGATTTTTTTCACTTCCTTCCATGCTTTTGTGATTTTTTTTTCCCACTGACGTATATTTCATAACTCACTGACTCATAGATTACAGTTATGCTGTTTCTTCAGCTAAGTTACTATCCTTGACTTCATGGATTTATTAAACGTTCTAGCTCCTGAAGCATGAGGAAATCTGCTCCTGCAGATTTCATGTGCCAGTTTTTTCCACACTGTGGAATGGGGAAGGAGTTTGTGAAACCTCTTGGAGGCTTGCTTTTACAGCAGCTCTGATCATTTCCATTTCCAAACACTTTTTATTTTGTTTTGCAATGTTTAATCTATCTTGACTTTTAAAATTTTAAGCTAATGCTTTCTGACTCCAAAATTTAACTTTACTAATCATATCACTTTTTTTTTCTTCCATCTCTTGTAGGCTCTGGTTTTTACCCTAACATTCTTTTTGAGTTGATTATTCACTGTCTTCTCCGAGAACATAGTGCTGACATTGCTCCAAGTTCTTATCTCTAACTGCAAATACAGGTTCCTAACAGATTTTGCATTACTATTTCACATTTGAGTACTTCCTCTAAGTATCTTTGATCAGCTCTTCTAAAACACCATTTATGCTTTCTTTACCCAAATAACAAATGGTATCACTTCTTGATTCTTCAGTGAATCAGATAATTTTGTGGGTATCCAATCCTGGTAATCTCAGACAACTTTAATAGCATTTGTTCTTGAATGGTAACTATGATTTTTATTTTCCCTTAAAATGTGATTTTTAGCTATCAGATGGAGACAAAAAATTTCAAGGGCTAGCTAAGCCAGTATTTCAATATGCTCTGCAGGAGTCACTAAAACACAGTACTAAAAAGAACTAAAGTACTAAATAAGAGTATGAAACACAGTGTTCACAGAGGAAAGAAAACAGATCCTTCCTTACATTGCAAAGATGTAAGAATCAGTAAATAACAAATTTAAAAGTCCCACCGGAGCTGTCTTGTTTCTTAAATTTGTATTACAACACCACACACGACTGTTCTGAATATATGTGCTATACAATTAAATGGAAAGCTTTTTACTGAAGATGTGCAGAGGCACAAAGTTTAGATCTTGATTTCCAAATGCACAAGCATATTTCAGTTGAAGATTTTGTTCTTGATTTGCTGTTCCTTTTAATTGAACAGATATTTTATTTTGATAGCAATTTCTGCTGTCTCGCAGCGTGTACGATGCATATTCAACAAGTGCTGGGAAGTTCTAGATTTGCTTGTGAATCAGGTTCCAATCACATTTTACATTATTTTAACTAGTAGAATGAGAATTTTACAACTTAAATACCAGACTTCATGTTTTCCCTCAAACTTTACAAGTTTCTTATGTCATATAAGATATGCAGGTTGCAGATCTCCCACTGAATGGTCTGGTATGGTCTTTTCAGTTGCTGCAATGCTTGCTGAGGCAATCATGTCATGTTTCATCTGGATTCATCATCTGATGCAGTTCAAACTGCTCTATTATAGCATCTTTTTTTGCCTCCAAGGTAGATATAAAAATAGGGTTTCCAAAACTGGTTGAGGAAAAAAATTCTGAGCAATATTATACCGTCATGAAAACTCCTATCAGAATGCTTGGAGTTCTCCTGGGGATCTTCAGTAACCTCATTTCTACAACAGGATAAAAATGGATGTAGGCCTGAGTATTCCACTGAGACACTGCATTGCCATACGCTTCTGATAAGGAGTCACAGTTTTGCAATATTCTTATGCATTCAACTTATATTTTCCTTTCATCCATTTTCTTTTCTGGGGTAAGCAAGGGGGAAGAGGTTGTCTGTCATTTATCTCACCAGGTTTTACATGCTGCTTTTGTGTTAGGAGAAGCTTTTCTTTAAAAAAAAAAAAAGTATCCAAAACAACTCTGAACAGTTTTTCAGGTTTTTCCACCCACAGCCTCTTCATCTCTTGCTCCTGATGACTCCTATTTCTCAAAGACACTTTATTCCCTGTGTTCACCTTTCCACTTGCAAAACCACAGTGAAAATAGGAGAGAAGTCACACGCACAAACTCTCTCCCTTAATCTGTCCCAACTCCATCCACTCCTGATTCTCTTTTCACATCTTACACAATCACTCAGCTGTACTTTAGGGAACCTCCTAATCCCCTCAGAGGAACCCTGTTCTTTATCCCTTTCCTTTCTCCCTCACATTTGCATAAGAATATAGCTAGAACAACTTTTAGGATAATTAACCCCCAATTACTCTTGTTAACTTTCAATGAAAAGACTGAAATGAAACACATGTATATATTTGTTCCAGTTAGATGTTTTATGATAAGTATATTTGTTATACAGACAGTCAGACAAAGAATTGCGCTAATAGAGAAACTTCACACTAGGTTGTATAAATGGAATAAACAGGAAGAGAGTTTTCTTTCCTCTGTAGGGTAAGAACCTGTTCCTTAATAAGGTCAGTGCAGGAAATGATTGAACAAAGAGATTTTTATTACCCAGGACTGAAACAATCCTTCATTTATTTAAAGGAAAGGAAGGAATCAGAAGTTGATGAAATATCTTCAAACTCCTGGTTATCACCAGGAGGTTTCTTTGGTAATTCTACTGTGGGTCCATAAGAAGTGTGGTACCTTTTATCAACAGACAAGCACATCTCCATGTACAGAGTGCCTTTCAGTATCTACCCTATTTCGGCTGAAAGAAACAGGCTTGTTCTTGCTCCCCTTCAGACCATTCCATTAAATGCCACTGCAGACACCTCTAGTCATTGTTTAGCCATAATATGGATATAAGTTTCAATTTTAACTTTTGCATAAGTCATCACAGCTAGACTATGCCCAGATTTTCTAGGATCTCTCTGTAAAAGAGCTCCAAAGAGCTAAAACTTTTCCCTAGGCCCTCATCACGTCACATTTTAATTAGTGCGACATCCGTTTCTCCAGCCTTAATATGTGAAATATGTTCCTTTGGACTCCTGCATATTTCATTTTCAAACCCCAGCACTCTATCTCCTCCTTCTGTGTTTATGGATTGGTGCTCTCTTCTCTGCTAGTGTCATCAACCATAAGTTATTCAACTTGTCTTGGTTATTGATTGTACCTCCCTCATCTGTTACAGCTTCTATTCTGAGAAGTCAACTTCCAGCTCTTCTAAGTCCAGGATATTGCTCTCCATTTTACAAGTTTTCAAGTCAGCCTGGCTAGGCTTTCTCTCTAGCCAATCATAAATTTGGAGCACGTCTTCTTATGAAGTTCATTATTCTTTTACAAAGACATCCCTAAAACTCTATTATAACGCCTAAAAAAAGTCTCAGCATGATTTGAATGCTTTGTGTGCCAAGATACTATCATAACATTAATACCATCACACTATTCCGCTGAACTTTCCCTTCTGTCTATCCATTTAGTTCTCTTGCATAATATTTTGCTACTTAACTTTTTGGGATGGTTCATATACCACGTGTCTTTAGTGTTCCTAAAACAAAAGGCTCTCTTTCCATGGTCAGAGTACTAAGTCTTTATCAAACTATCTCAATGTTATATTCTGTATTTTTAAAAATCTCTAGCTAGATTATATTTAAAATACAACTACTGATTCAGGTTCATTTCCTGTCCTTATTTTAATAAATTAATGATTCTTAATTTTTATGGGGAAAGTAATTACTTACTGGTTCAAGACAGGTGTATACGCTGTTTTATCTTCATCTATGATGGTGACCATCAGAGTAATAAGCTGTGCCCAGAAATCCAAATTTTTTGTTGTCGGTCCCTGTTCTTCTTTAGGAACTTCTTGTTTCTTACCCTGTTAAAACAAGATTGAATAAATTTTATATTAGAAAAATTAGAGAAAATATTATGGGATTTCCACCTACATGAGTGACGTATTAAGAATCTTCAGAAATTTTGGACAACGACTATCCAACTTAGAGTAGATTGTATGACAGACTGTACCTGGCTGTGAACGTATATCAAAAAACATACACAGTGCAAAGACAGCCAGGTCAGCAAAGAAGATCAATAGAGACTTGATTTTTAGTGCATTTCCACACTTTAATTAAATACATTCTTAAATTCTTTGTTGTGCTGAAACTGAGTACAGGTAAAATCATCTGCTGAGGCAGAACTTTTATACCCTACACAATAAATACTGAACAAATCAATGATAAGGAACATTTCTTGTTTTGGATTATACGCTAAAATTATTGGGCCTAACAGCTGCCATGCTTTTCGCTCTAAATGAAGAAGTGGTTAAATTTCCCTTTATTTTTTAATAGCCAAAATAAAAAAGGCTATTGCCCAAAGTATTCTGCACAGAGATTTTCCAGGGACTCATAGATTGGCTGGCAGAACCACAAAATGTGCATTTAAGAGGGGCAGAGGAAACTACCATCAAGTAGGAGAGGGGAAAAAAATAATCCCTGGACACATAAAAATGCTAGGAAAAGGTACATAGGAATATCCACAGGAGAGGCTTGTGAAGGTATTGCCTTGCCAAGGATTTTAAAGCTGTGAGCAAAACTAATCTGTTATTAGATTTCTTTTTTATCCAGGGAAATGTGATTTTTGTATATTCCTTGTAAATGAAGAGGTCTGCAATCAGTTGCACATCCAAAGCAGAGAACCTGAGATGCCCCATGACATTTTTGTAATAATTGCGAGGAAGGACGTGACACACTGATATATCAGACGGATTACCAACGTGACTCTCCAGTCATTAATTAAAAGTTGTTAAGTAAAGCAGTGTTTTTCATTCCTCTTGACTAAAAGCCTGCCTTTTGCACCTTTTCATATAGTTGTAAGTATGTATGCACCACTTACAAAATTTTGAGAATGTTATACTTCTTAATCTCACTAAAATATGCATTTACAGCTAGATTTTGTCTCTACAGTTTTGATTTATGAATTCTTAGCCTACGGTTTCCTAGACAAAAGTATTTTTCAGTTCTTTGCTTGACAGAAGGATCAGATTCCTTATCAATGTCCAATAAATAACTTCATTGCAGAGAACCAAATATGAGAAGAAGTATTTTTATCTCTATATGGACACACACACACATATAATTTTGGCCACGCAGAGGTACGTCTGCACATGCTAGGTCTCTTCTACGCAGCTGTCAGAGACAGAAAGGGGTCTTTTCACTCAACTAGTTAAGTCAGAGAAAATAAACATGCCTATTATCTTGCAAATTTAAACATATATTCCCCATACTTCTCATTTGTAATCCAAATATGACCACTTCAATGGGCCCTGTATCTCTCTGAATAGATATGACACTGTATTAGTGTCATAGTGAATTAATTAAATGTTATCTTAACCTCAATTAACTTTTATCTATTAAGAGCATTTAGAATGGCAGAAAGGGAATTTCAACAACACTTAATTGAAATTGTTTTTGTGGTCACTGTGGAATATTTTAGAAAAGTATCATTAATCACACTGTTACATACTCAGCTGATCTACAAATGCTACGGCTTCAGAGTCTAAGGCAACTGAAGTAAAGGCGAGGCTTGGAAGCAGTTACAATGGATGGTGTGACTAGTATCACCGGCAATTTACAACCACACATACAAACAAGAGTGCTTTTCAAAACAGAAATGAATATGGGAGCATTAACGTCACTCACAAGGGCTTTCCCTGGTGTACATTACACTTCTATTAAAAGACTTTGTTTCTATATCAAAGATATATTTCTAATATACCGTTTTTTTTCTCAGAAGCTAGTGCATGTTTAAGCCAAACCAACTGAAAGGCAGTTGTAGAAGACAAAGCCAGTTCACATTTAGTCCAGCATCTTATCCAAGAACTATATTTCACAGAAAAAACCTGCAATGGCATGTAGCTGAGACAGCTTTTCATGATTGTGAATGTGAATCACAGCATGTGAAGTTCTATTCTTTAATATAGATAGCAAAAAGTAATTAATTTACAAAGTAATAATTGCACAAGGAGGTGCTTTCTACAAAAATTAGCTGGCACAGAAATCTTTTAAAAATCAAGATGATCTTTTCAAAATCCCCAGAGAGGTATTTTTTAAATAGTCTCATGTTAACAGAGGTAGCTTTATGCTCTGAAATGAAAGTGCATACTCTGTCCATGCCCAGTTGCAATTACCATTCTTTATCCTAAAATCTCACTAATGGGTTAGAAATGCTCAGAATCATTCAAGTTGTTTTTACATTAATTGTTATTAGTGCTGGCATTATTATTTGTTTTATGTGGTTTCTGGCAACAGATGCCTTCACAGAAGCATTATAATGAAGTAAAACAATGTTGGAATTTGATTACATTGATTAGACAAACTTGCAACAGTGACAGAAGAAAGTTCCATCTTGGAATAAAAATTAACTTGAAACAGAGCTATTTTCATATCCAAAAAATTTCAGTGATGCAAGTTGTTTGGCTCGAAAATGTTTCTATTAGCATAACTGAGAGGCATAGAAAACTGCATAACAGTGTAGAAAAAGTGAGTGGGAGGACAGCATCATACAATTATATCTTAACAGTTTCTTAATGAAATGAAACACCCCTTTAGAGGCACTGAAGTTTAATTTCTATACTGCTTTGCTGAAGTCTGCTTTGGTGACATGGGTTCACCATCAGTCTGTTGTGAACAGTCAGTAAGAACGCCCTCTTATTAAATGAAAAAACAAGTTCAGTTTTTCCTTCTCTGTGGTCTCAGAAGAAATCTATCTGCCCTAATTTTTTAACTGTGATGATAATAGCTCATGCCTCGGTCTTGTGATTTGGTCCCACATCCAACCAGTTCTCAACAGTGTGCGTCCTTTCACTTTAGGAAATAATAGCATATGCACTTACATGGTACAGTGTATTTACAGTCTGTGCAGAAGTTGTGGAAAGGCCTTTTAAAATACCAAGATTAGATTAGTTTGTACATAAGCAAAGTATATGCTTACAACAATTTACACACACAAAATTTCTAGAGTATAAAAATGGTGAACTATACGGTCTATTAGGTGGAAAAAGCTTATCTTGGTAATAGTAACTTTCTTTTTTCACTCAAGTTATATCCATTAGAAAGAAACTGCCAGTATAAAAACATGAGCTAAATACCCGATATACCCAATTAGGGCCACGTTGGCACAAATACAGTGACAAGATATATGAGCTACTGAATACTGCTTATCATTATAGAGGATAATACCGATAATGAGATTTTAAAAAAATACATCTGAAAAGGTCAAAAAGAACATAAATTCTCAATATATCGACGACAAAATCACTAGTTAACACATACTGTTCATGATTCATGACTTTTTAAAAGAATGATTTTTCTGAAGTTGCCTGTCTTTCATTTTTGGTGGATACAGAATTCACTGAGCAAGCTAAAAATCACAGATTGCTCTTATAGTAAACAAGAGAACTTTCAGAAAGTATTGATATGAATGAAAGTTTGCCAATTAGCAGCATAATTTTCTTTTTCACTAGCCTTTTCACTTAGGAAAGACTACTTAAAATATCTTCACCCCCTGTAATGTCGCTTGGGGTGGTAATGCTGTCCACATGCACAGAACCATGAAATGCCGTAAGAAGATAGTAGATCCCATACTTAAAAGCTCAATAACTACCTGGCCAAAGGCAGAATACTGATATTCCTAAAAGGCATCTGCTGGCAGATCAAACAAACAAAAATACCAGATGATGTCTCACCATCAAGACACGACAATACAGGTTTTTATATGCTCACGTTAATTGACTTGGCTACTTCTTGTCTTCAGGATTACTCTAAAGTTGTAGCATACCACACATCCTTTACCATACAAAAATGCCAAGCAACAACATGGAAGTGGCAAACTTAAATAATGAAATATGTTAGAAAAATGGACTACATGAAACAGGCATGAGGAGTAAATGTGATTACTTGGGTTCTAATGAATATAGCTGTTTGCCTGATTCTGCTTTTAAAAATGATACGTTCTCATCACGTTCCTCCAAGATGACACAGCTCAGGACTGGCAGAATGGGAAATTTTTGATCATTATACTGAAGTTCACTATTACTCATTCCCTATTACTTAGAAAAGTTTACAAAGCAATCTGTTGCAATCTTATAATGCAGACATGTAATTAGATGTAGATTAGGACTGTATTGCCAAGGATCCTAGATTCTAGATGTTCCTTTAATTAAAATCTCTTTGGTTACATAAAATCTCTTTGGTTTTGATCTCAACCAACGCCCCTGGCTTACAGAGAAGCCACGCCCAGTGAATTTACTCAGTGGATCATAAATCGGATTGTCAGGCATTAGATTTTATGATGCATTCTTAAATTGTGTGTCTTTTTATTAATTCTTTGTCACAGGGAATGCTGTCTTTACTGCTAATAGACAGTTTTAAGTAAACTCCTACAACAGTGTATTAACTCTAGTTAAAGGCATGTGAAAACTTATTTGGAACACATGAAATAGGGTAAAATCCAAACAGCAGCCAAGAATGGCACTGGCTTCAGCGGTGATCCCACATCTGTTGAAAAAGAAAATCCCCAAAAGCATCATAGGACTAAAGTAAAATACAGTTAGTTCCTCACTGTATCAAGTGTACTAAGCTGTTTTGGATAAAATTTCAGTCAGTTTCAGAGAAAAGAAGTTCCAATTATTTTGTAGAGCTACAGTAAGTTAGATGTGCTTGCCTGGGCAAAGGTGTCTTAATTCAGTTTTGTTATATTAGGAATCCAACTGAGAGATAACATAATGGATGTTTCTTCATGTATTTTGTAATATATTTTGTTACAGGATATTTCATTTTATTGAGAGCATCATAATTCATTTGGAAAACTAGATAACTG